AAATAGGGTGAATACATCTTATAACAGAATTTTTACGTCTGGATAGTTTGTGAAGATTCCTTGAATAATGGCTACTTCTTCTGACGACGCCGGTCATAGCTGGCCCGATGAAAGCTCAGCAGGGATGCTTGGTAATCGGTGAAGGGTATGTCACTTACTCCTGGGCATAAATGAGCAATCTCAACTATAAAACTAACTTTCTTCGGCTTCCGGTGAGGCCAACCTACGAATTCCGTTAATGAAACTTTTCACTCGAACCTAGAAGGTCAAATGAAACGAAATTCTTAAAAATACATTCTTGCAACATGTAAATTGACGTGGTCTAATTGCTATATTTTATTCTGTCTTCGTGTTTGAGAGAACAGTTTCGAATTTTGTGAATGCCAGCATTTGATCTGCTCCTCTTGCCAGTTAATCCAGAGATACCGCCTGGCATTAATCGCTACGGCTGCCAACAACAAACTGTTTCGAGCTAAGAATCACTTTCACTGCTCTTTCACTGCTGAACAATGCTTCATTTTGGGCTACATTTTGACTTTTTGCTTAAACTATTGCAATTCTTTGGAAAATTTCCAAAAGATGGGCTGTTGTTGAAATGAGCAGATATTGAGGATATAAAGAAATCTTAAATAAGAATTTTAGTCAGCTTAGTTAGCTTAAGATGATATGGAGCTAAGTGTGAAAACTCCTTAATTTGAAAGGAATAAACCTCACAAAGCCATAGAATATACCATTTTCTGAGGAAAGTTGTGACGACAAGCCTGAATGATAAACCCTTGTGGGGCACACGTCAATGTTAAATTCTATGGCAAAATGAGGCATACTCATTTGATACCATGAAAATTCTACCATCCCCTCCACCTAATTTTATGCAACATAAAATGACCAAAATTCTTATTCGAGGCCACATTAACGCATTTTTTCTGCTGGATCTGGAATACGATATAGCAAGGCTTTCTTGTAAAGTGAATAAAGCAAGCGCCTCTATCATACCCACACATGTGCTATGGAAGTAGGCTGTGGGTATGATTTGCCCGAAGAATGAAAAATGTTAACTTCACCTTCACACAAAACTATGAGGCATCGAGCATCGAGTACAAGTTCCCTTAAACCATGTTTCAACATAAAACATTTGCGCATAGACGGGTGACGTTGAGAAAATACATCTTTTTTATTGACTATTCTTATATTCCAGACACTTTACATGCCTTGGATATCATTTGCAAATAAGGTTCGCGGACGTCAAGTCGCATAATCGTGAGTATGAAAGCCAAGACAACAAGCCCATTTCGCTATTTTCACACCTTAGTCGTGTGTTCTGGCGTTGTGGCTCGAGTATTCATTTCCAATAAAGTGTTGGCGGGATATAATTCATTAATTTGTTTGTTGGATTACGCAAAGAGGTCCTCGGCTCTACGTTCTATGGCCTCGATGAACTCGTGCTAAGCTTTCGGTTGTCGCATTACATGTCATATGAGCCACGTGGTCGTGGTGGGAAACCGTACTTGACGAAAAAGTGGCTGCAAACCTACTCAATCCTCTTTCGAATTTTGAGATGACCACTACACGGATTCTTTCCAACCCACTTTTCCTTAAAAACAAAAGTCGACTCACACTAACTCACTAAGTTATTTTCCGAAACAGAAATTTTCTTCATTTTAATGGTCTCGTTATCCTTCTTTATAGTTGTTATGATTATTCAGAGCTGACACATTCCCAGACAGTATCGTTAGTGAATTTTGCCAATCCTAGACCCAAGCTACAATTTCCTGTTTTATTTCCTCTGTCCTGGTAAATTCACCTACCGCATAACTTTGTAGTTCCCTCCTTTACTATCACAACGTCATTAGGAGCTATCCAAAGGGTGGGTCATTTGAGCGGCTAGTTTTATCTCCTACTTTTGCGTGCCGGAATTGTGGATCAGAGTTGTAACTTGGCTCTATCAGCGATAAGGCCCAATTGGGATGCTGGCCAAATGCGTGGCAATATACCAATTTCGATGTTAGAAATGATGATTCCGACTATCGCAGACGATATATACAAACAAAATGCCAGTTTCGACGAATCCCCTGAGATAAACTCAATGTAAAGTCTTTAATTTCTTATGGAAGTGCATGATTAAGAGATTTGTGGATCAATCTCATCAGAAGATGAGTTGTACTGTAATCGTTTAGCCTTAATAAGACGTTCAGGTTGATGCAGTCCACGAGACATCCTCCAAAGTTTCGGGTGAAGACGTACTGACCTTTCGTTCGTCATGCCACATAACGGAAACCATCATTGCTGGAACTTATTCTTACAAAAGCCTCAAGTAAGTCAATATGATTGACCAGCTTCCTTCTATATGATATATATACTCATTGCGAGACAAATTTAACATACAGATTAATATAGAAAGCTTTGCTCAATTAATGTATAGACGTTGACATACATACACACACAAACATTTCTACATCCATCTATATCTTAAATGAGTATACATATCATATAAAAGAAAGTTGGTCAGTCTTATTGACTTGGTGTTAACTTGAGGCATTTGCAAGAATGAATCCCAGCTCTGATGATATTCGTCATGTGGTATGACGAATGAAAGGTCAGCCCACCTTCGTCCGAAACGTTGGAAGGTGTCTCGTGGACTGCATCAACCGGAACGTCGTGTTGGCGCTAAACGGCTGCAGTAGAACGCGAATCAGCTGACCTAGTAATCTCTTAATCATGTACTTCCATACGAAATGAAAGTCTTCACAGCAATATGGTAGAGGAGGTCTGACAAAGTATCTTCTTCGTGGTCGCCATGGCAACACGATTAAATTGCGTGTATTTCCTCAAAATGAAGGTGAATCTATCCGCTTGTATAGCCAACAGTTGAGATTGGTTAACTTTGCTTCAGTCTCTTTATTTTCTGTGATAAGTAGAGTTGATTGTGACCTTTTGTTGTAATCATTTTAATGTTTCCCTTTAGACAGAGGCTAAATGCACTGGCGGCATCCAAGCGGCGGTCGTTTGCTGGGCGGCCAGACGAAGCAAAGCAATTTGCTGGCGCACGAGCGCCCAAAGGGCTCGTAGGCAGTGAAACATCGAAGAAAGACCTCCAAATCCGTTGGATGGAGTGTGCGCTCTGTTAAGAAATAGGCGGAGCATGGGTTGATTGAGCAAGATATTAATTTCATCCACAATCCTATGTTGCGAACCAACCTTCCCCCCTCACTGTCATGTATAGACCCTGGAGCCTTGAGTAGCAGGAACCAGAATGAATCCTCTTCACCGGCTCGCGTTTGTGAATGTCTCTGAATGCACATTCGTGCTCATGTGGCAGGAATGAATCACCTCTGTCAAACGGACGTGTGGCTCATGGCACGAGTCAGGCCACATGTCCGGACAGCCTCATTTTGAGAACGTGCACCGACCTACGAACAGGTCGGACTGAAAGCAGACGGGGTGGTGGAGTGAGCATGAACCGCCAGGCAACCCATGAGGCTCACCCAATTTCCGCCTCACTGTCGAGTTAACATACTCGCTGGTACAACATGGTACAACCGAGTGGAAGCAATTGAATGGAGCTTCCATACGAGGCTGCAAGAGGTGGGGGGAGTCAAGGGTTCAAAATGACTGCCTTCATAGACTGTATCAGAGCAACGACGAGACGGGAAACGTGGATAGCCATTTCTCGGAGAGCAAAGAAACACCAACCCCTCGATTGCCTCGTTTATTGGCCTATGAGGATGGAGCACTGTACTGTGATTGGACATATGAATTCACTATTCTTACTTGAGGTTGTTGCTTATATGCTTAATTGATTGCCAGACGTAAGGATTATCACTCCGCAGAGAGTAGCCAAGACAAAGCACGTCATTCGCACCCGAGTGCACATACCAATCTTATTGCAAGCCAGCCATGCATTGCAAATGTTCGTGTGTACATATCGGTTTGCATGTGTGCATTTGTGCACTCGTCTGTCTCTTGCCCAACTCCTTGCCATTTGTTCTTCTCTCACCTCCATCCGACGTGGCAGTCCACTCGCCCATACTCCTCTCGACCAGGTAGGCCTAGAGATATAAATATATGTATGGTCATGTGCAACATTGTAACTACCCCTCAGTCCTTCTGCATGTATGCATGGTCGTGGAAACTGCAGACGTAGGAACCGATGTTCACCAGACTAAAGCTTGGTCACGCGATCTGCCAAACGGACACGTGCCCGTCTCTCCTCTTCTCTTTCCAGATGTCGATATGACTTTGGCCATAAACCGGCTCTAGGTCTTGTTCTCCACCGGATCTGCTCCACTTGCCCAGCTTCCAGAGACCTCAGACTAAGGACGGAAGCACCGATCGTCGTCGAAGTTCTTGTGTCGAGCTCGAGAAAGTGGATGAAGAAGAGATTGTTAGTTCGCCATCTCACCAGTACAAGACGCCTGACGCTTCACGGTTTGGTACTGTTCGACCCTACCACGAGCCCCTTGCTGACGCAGTCCTTGAGACACACACCTCTGGTTCCGTATGTCATGCCACCGGTGGACATCGTCAATGCTAGAAATCATTCTTACAAGGAGTCGAGAAAACGAATCGACTTTTTTCTACCAGCTAAACATAGACACACGCACACACACACACATACGTATTAATGACTTGTGGAGTGTATGCCTGTTGCAGGTAGGGCGGAGACTTTTGCAATAAGAATGAGTTCCAGCCCTGACTACGTCTGCTAGTTAGATGATGGACGAAATTTCTGCGAAGAAAAGTTAGGTTTTGAGGAATCTCTTCTTTCATAATTGTTGAGCTTACTTCCATTTCGAATGGAAGTGTTGTGTGAAAAGATTCATAGGTCGGTTTCACCAGACGACGACGGCGGATTTCTCTTGACCAGCCGTTGACTGGTGTTACTGGAAGATTCATGCTGACGCTGTTTCCGGTGAAAAGATGCTAAGCTTTCGTCCGTCATATGACGAACATTATGAGAGCAAGGTACCATCGTCACAACAAAATTTAAGCTAACGAGTCACGAAATCTACACTCTCCTCTCCATC